GTCAGGTGATTGGCTGGATTTACTTTGGCTTGGTCAGTGTCCTTCTATCCACAAGCCTGGGAAAACTGGAGGAGGAAAAGGTAGTTTTGTGTCTGTCCACCTTTCTCCTCATTCACCTAGGATTTCTTTGATATTTGCTGTTTTGCACAAGTGACCTAAGAATAGGATGGTGTTTTTAAACTGTCAGATATCAACATCTTGATCTTTGATTTAATAGCATCTCAGTTCACTCAGATATAGGCCTACCTTTTGAACCCAGAAGCATTCACTCAAAAATACTCTCTCTGCTCAGACAGACTTCCAGCTCAAAGCCCTAAATTTTATACTAGAAAAACATGGTGGCTGTACTGGAAATGTGAAAATGAAACTGCTCTATATAATATAATGCTATATATTGTTTATGCTGAAATCATGCTTTAAGAAGTTATAGCTTCAGCACCTGTTTTGTAGTTTGTGAGTTGTATTATCATGCAAACACTCCTTGTAAATGGTAAATGGGCTTTACTTGTATAGCACCTTTCTAGTCTTCTGACCACTCAAAAAGCTTTACACTACATGTCAAATTTACCTACAACTGTGTAGTGTGTAGTTTGCTAATTGCATATGTTGGGCTCAAAATAAATTCTCAGTGGATGTTTCCCAAATTATTGTCATAGTCTAGTTTAATCTTTTACATTTAGAAAGTTTTGCAAGTTATGATTACATTAGATTCCCCCAAAATAAGCCACAGGGGCTTAACTAAGCTTTTGTCTTTGTAAGACAGACAGTGGGTAGCTGACAGTACTATAATTGAGGGGAGTGAGATGGGGGATGACATGCAAGAAAGCTCAAGCTGAACTCAAACTGGGATATTTCAGTTACATGGTCAGGATCTTAAAGGAGACCTATTATACTGCATTTCCAGTCCTATATTGTAGTTCTGTGATTCTTGTATGGCAGCTTTGCATGATTCAAAGTTAGAAAAATATTTTTTCTATCTTATACTGGCCCTTCATGTAGTGCTTCATTTCAGCTACTGTCTGAAACAAGCTTTAGATGCTCCTGTTTCCTTAAACCCCCCTTTCAATGCCCACTGTCTTATTTGCCAAGACCTGAAGCATGTTAGCAGACAAGAACACAGATTGAGAAAGGCCTAACAGGCTGACGTTGCCGCTGAGCAGTACAGACAGACTGAGCGTAGCCAAAGTCCTTCTAGACAAGTCATGCCACTCAGCCGCCATCTTGGCAACACCTCCGGGCAACTATTTCGGACTAACAAGACCAGGCGCCTATGTGAATGAATGGCGAGAGAGCCAGAACTGCACTTTCACTGGTCACCACGACATAAAAATTACATGAATAGAATCAGCAGTAAAATCTGATAAAAATCGCTGAAAAAGTTTGACAACTTTGCCCCAAAATAAGGTTTAAAAAGCGTTTTTCCCGACCGGTTATACTTCTACCATGCATGCGTCACCTCTTCCGCGCAGTAGAAGTAAAACAGACCCTTACGGCAGTGGAACCACACGATTGGCTGAAATGTGATTTCCGCTGTGGCTGTTAAAAGCAGCTGATTTGCTTTCCAGCGGGAGGGGCGGGATAACCGCCATCTTTGCTGTTACGGGCTTTCCCCATAGAGTTGTATTGAGGATGCAGTTGAGTGGCGTGTCTCCTCTATAAAACGTCTCTGGCGTAGCTGTGTGGAGCAAATGACCATATATGGAATACCGGCTCCATCTAGCTCCATGTGTAGTCAAAGGGAGCCATTACTAGAGTGTTCAGAACAGGAGGCTTTGGCTCACAGGGATTTCTTTTAAATACTTTTTCCTCATTATTTGAAGCTTTGGCCATGTTTACCATGAACATTGGTAAACAACATTGTAGATAAGTCATAAAATATGGGAAAGCATAATAGGTCTCCTTTAAATGTGCAGGGGTTATGTTGTTTATAAACTTTATGTAATAAGGTACAAGGTACATTTATCATTTTACTACACAAGGTTATACACTCATTGGCCACTTTATTAGGCACACCTTGCTATAACCAGGTTGAACCCCCTTTTGCCTTTTGAATTGCATTATTCTTCGTGGCATATTTTCAACAAGTGTTGGAAACATTCCTCAGAGACTTTGGTCCATATTGACATGATAGCATTATGTCAGATGCTGCAGATCGGCTGCACGTCCATGATGATGTGGCTATCTGCCATTGACATGATTTTTTTATTGACTAATAGCATTCACTTCACGCCCCAGTCACACCTCCATTACTGGCCACTAGCATTCAGACATTCACCCCTCCCCACCCCCACCCCCCCTCTTAAAAATGGTGGTGATGGTGGTAACTGACAAAGTCTGAGAGTTTTTTGCTTTGCTTTGGCTTGCTGAGATCCTTTTTTGTTTTGTTTTTTGGGAAGAGGATTCACTCTAGTGGGGGAAAATGGAACTGATCCCTCCATAGGTCCTTTATTTTGACTTATTTGCTCAGGGCTGAATTGAACTGTTGGTTTTAAAAGTTTGAATTTCCAATGTGTGGCGTTTTTTGTTGAGCCATGGACTCTTAAGTTGTTGTTAAAGTATTCAAGCTGACTGAAAGGCATTTTGTCTTTATGTTGTGTTTGTATATCGAATGCACTGTTTTATACTCTGATTATTGCTGTGTTTGTTAGTGTGCATGCAGTGTTTTGGTTATTACAAATAAGTGGTTTCATGATGGGGTTTTGAGCACTGAGTCATGTATCCATGTGGGGGATTGTCCTGAATAAGAGCAGGCACCACAAACTTACAGGTTAATCCTCTACAATGCGAATCTCCCGTTCCATTACGTTATAAAGGCACTTTTTTTGGATTGAGATCTGGTGACTGTGGAGTACAAAGAACTCATTGTCATGTTCTTTGTGACATAGTGCATGATCCTGCTGTAAGTAGCCATTAGAAGATGGGTACACTGTGGTCATAAAGGGGATGGACATGGTCATCAGCAATACTTGGGTAGGCTGTCGCATTTAAACGATGCTCAATTGGTACTAAGGAACCCAAAGTGTACCAAGAAAATATCCCCCACATCATTACACTAGCTTGAACTGATGATACAAGGCAGGATGGATGCATGCTTTCATGCTGTTTACTCCAAATTCTGACCCTACCATCTGAATGTCGCAGCTGAAATGGAGACTCATCAGACCAGCAAGGTTTTTCCCAATCTTCTGTCTGCTTCAAGGTTCAACGTGTGCGTTCAGAGATGGTATTCTGCATACCCTGGCTGTAACGAGTGGTTATTTGAGTTACTATTGCCTTTTTGTCATCTCTAACCAGTTTGCCCATTCTGCTCTGACATCAACAAGGCATTTTTGTCCACACAACTGCTGCACACTAGATATTTATTTCTTTTTTGGACCATTCTCTGTTTGTCTTGATCACATCTACATGTCTAAATGCATGAGTTTCTGCCATGTGATTGGCTGATTAGCTATTTGTGTTAACAAGCAATTTAACAGGCGTACCTAATAAAGTGGCTGGTGAGTGTATAACGCGATGAAGTATGTAAAATACATGATTCATACCTGTGCCCAGTTAGACTTAGCATACTTAGCCCCTTCTCGTTGATATGTTTGATTAGGCTGGACATGCAAAAAAACTGACTCACACAAGTAATACTAACATGTTTGTTTTCTTAGTGTTGTAGGTCTCAACTTTGACTTCCTGGCTCTCAACCTAACTGGCTTCATCGCATACAGTGTCTTCAATATAGGGCTGTTCTGGGTTCCTTATATAAAGGTAATATTTATTTTGTTTCCAGGTCACTGTTCAAAGTTTGAATCTCAGGTCAGTTCACAGTGGATTATGTTAAAGAGGTCATATTATGCTCATTTTCAGGTTCAAAATCTTATTTAGGGGTTGTACCAGAACAGGTTTACATGGTTTAATTTTCAAAAAACAACACATTTTTGTCATACTGCACATTGCTGCAGCTCCTCTTTTCACCCTGTGTGCTCAACACTTCGTTTTAGGAGTGCTGCAACTCACCTCTACAAGATCAACTTTATTGTCCCCTAAGGGAAATTTGTCTTGGGCATCAGTGCCACATAAGGCTGCAGTAACAACAGTAACACATATGGACTTCACACTCACATACATCATACAGTCCTCATCATACATTTACATTACATTGCACAAGTATCTGAGACACTACAGAGTCAGTAATTGATTACAAAGTAAGAAGAACCTGAATGATATGAAACCTCTGAATAATTCTATTCAGTTGCACTTGAGCTCATTCAGCAGTGAACATAAAATTATGTAGCATGACTACATTGGTTATTCTCATGGCAGGGACTTGGAGACAGGCAATACACACACAATTCCTTGATTACAGTGGAGTTTATTAACTAAGGTGATATAAAAATGTGGTTAAATACATCAACGAAATAACCAATGGCTAAACAATAAGAAGGGGGTTCTATTGTGGGGAGCATTTGACTCATACGGCAGCTAATGAATGCAATTAGATGATACTAACTCAATTAAATTTGTCTAGGAGTTTCCAGGATTAAATATACTGGACTGACAGACTATGGGACATCACTGATCACAGAATGCATGGTTTTGGTCTTACTGCGTGTCGCTTCTCCCAGCCGGGTGCTGGTCAACGGCCTCACACTGGCTGAGATTCTTCTTGGTTAGGACAGCTTAAAGCCGTCGGCCAGTCGCTTTCTCTGCCGGGGAATTGCTCCGGAGGTCAGTCTTTTTTCGGCTTACTGGAGACTCGCAGTGGGGCCTTTCCAACCCTGTCTCTCGGGTCAGAGGTTTTAGTTGTCCTTTGTTACTGCTGGCGGGACCACGTGGTTGGCCCGGGCGTCGGGGATCAGTGTAAGTTAGATTGACGAAATAAAGCTTAAAAAAATTCAATTAAATTAGTGTAACTTAATAGTCTGATAACTTTAACAAACAAAAAGAAAATAAAAACAACAAGTAAGTTGCTGGAAACGAGTGAAAAATCGATGTTGTAGCGCTTCGTGTGTGTGGCTTGGAAACAAACAAAAAGGCTTTATTGCGCCGGGCCCAAGTTCTTAGGGCATTGCCGGGAGAGGGGGCACGCTGGGCGCGTGCCGAAGCACAGTTGGAAGGCCAGGAACCCAAACAGAGGACAAGAGAGTGAACGACAGCATGTGTAGCGCTTTTGTTGGTTGGGGCGTGGTTCCCAGAGGGCAGTCCTTTGTTCCCTGAGGGAGGGTTTTGTTTCCGGCTGAGAAGACTGTCTTCTTAACTTTTAATGTCTATTAAAAAAAAAGAAAATCTAATTGTAATCAAAAAACCGTTCTTAGAGAATATAAGTGTAGTGAACAACGGTGTGGATTTGTGCATTTTACATTGAATAAATTTGGAGCTACCCTAAATTCCTTTCTCCTCCCCAGAGAAGATGGGGAGGGGTCAAAGTTGCTTTCTCTAAGTGCTGTCCCGACCATAAAACTGGCACCTTTTTGATTCCAAAGCTGATAACGCGGGGCCTGACTGTTAAACTGACAAAGGGACACGAGCCAGGCATTGGCATCTCCCTGAACAGCCTATCAAAACTGGCCCCACCACACACGTTTCCGTGGAAACTGACCTTATTCTTTGTTTTATTACCACATCAAAGGGATACTCCTTGTCTCACCTAAGTGTGACATTGTCCAGGACACTGAACTTTCAATGTAAAAGGACTGCAGTCTCCAAAAGACTCAAAGCATTTAATTAAATTTAATTAAATCTTTAGTTACCTGATTATGTTTGCCTCTATTTGAGTAGTTATGTTAACTGTTGTTGCTATCTGTTGTTGATATTAGTGCTGAAAAGAAGTTACTTGTGCAGTGTTTTTATTTTCAGCACTACACTCCTTCATCTAATGTAATCAATGCTTGTTCATAATACTTTCTTACAAAATCCCTTTAGAAATGATGACAAAGAAATGTTTTACTATACTCTTAATCGCCAGCTTGAATTTAAGGATGAATCACCAAATTCCCCGGTTCCTATTGGAGAGACGATCTTTGATTTAATCTAAGCTTTCTTCATGTAACCTGAGCTCCCCCAAGTGGACGAAATAAGTATTACATGCCCTCGTTGGAAATGCCGTTAAATGTATAAATATCCTGACCAATAATGTGACAACTGTTTCCTGTTACCAAATGCCTAGAACAGTACAACCGTTCAACCATTGAGGTTCGATTGTGGAAAATATTTGATTATAATAAGTGCAAATAGATTTCTTTTTAGACATGAAACCTGAGACGCCACCTGGGGAACCACGCCCCAGGCAACAAAAGAGCGACACGCGACCTCGCTTCGCTTCGCGTTTTTCTCTTCGCTGTTGGCTCTCTTCCACTCTGCTCTGCTCGCTGGACGCTTCGGCACGCGTTTGGCGTGCTTCGCCAGGCAGCGCCCTCAGACTCGGCCAGCGAGACAGGCCTTTTGTTCGCCTGAAGCTACACACCTGAAGTGCCGCGACATCGATCTGCCTTCAGTTTGTTTTATTTTCTTTATTTCTTTTGTTTGTTAAAGTTATCGGTCCGTTAAGTTACACTGGACTAATTCAGGAACGACCAAGTTCCATTTTAAGCCTTTTTCGTCGAGCCAACTTCACCGAGGTCAGACCAAGCCACGTGGTCTCGCCAGCTACAACGAAGGAAACCTGAAAACAGCCGAATTGCCAGATGGAGGAGGCGTTTTCAATCAGACACGGAGAACCCTGGAGAATCCCTAGCAAAAAGCCAGGATCGGGCAGCTAGCTTGGGACCCGTGCAACAGGCCAAAAGCAGGCTGTCGACAAGCAGTAAGACTTAACACACGTTCTGTGATCAGATATTCCCCTCTTAACTCTTAAAATCACAGCATTAGTTTACTTTCATTAGTTCCTTTATACCGTATGAGTCAAATGCTTCCCACAATCGAACCTCCGGGCTCATTGTTCAGCAATTGTTTATTTCCCTGTATCCAACCATCTTTTATCACATTAGTTAGAGAATAAATTCACTGTAATATAATCAAGAGCTGTGTGTGTTGCCTATTTCTAGTTCCTGCCAAGAGAATTGACCCTTTAGATATGAGACTGACTGACTGATTTAAGATAATTCAGCGATTATTAACTAACTGATCACTAGTAATAATTGTATAATTATTCAAAACTACCTAGAGGTCCGGAGACTCTAGGATTATAACAACTCCGGTGGTGCCCTTAACGAGGAACATTGATTTTATGAATCTTAAAAATTCATAATTGGGTATCAATTCTCATAAATTTATTAAAATGCATAATTATAAATTTTAGGTCTGCTACAATAGCGTCTAAACACTTAGTGCAGATGCCTTCATCTCTACAAAACTTATACATACATAAAACAAATAAAACCGAACAAATAGTTGCAACAGCAATAAAACCCCTGTCGCCAGCAGAGGCGCCAGTGAGATCTTTGTAGGGAGTTGCACATGCGCAGTTCTTAGTTCATAGAACTAGCCAATCAGAAGCAGAGTACGGTGGGTTGTGAGAAGCCTGTAAACACGGCTTCGGTTCCATGGTACATGTTCCCCTTACCAGTTTAGCAACATAGACTTGAGCAAGTTTGAGCGTGGTGAGCATTATGGTGCGCATTTTGCTGTGACGTCACTGCAAAGCGGAAGAAAAGGCTGGACTACAAATGAGCTGTTTTCAGGCAGTTCAGAGCAGTGTTTTCTGTGGGAGATGGGAACTCCCTTTGGGGTGGATTTTGGGCTTTTTTACTTTGCAAACCTATTACATGCACAAAAAAGGTATATAGCTCAATAAAGGAGAGGGAAAATGCCAAAAAGCACAATATGACCTCTTTAACAATGGGGGACAAAAGTTCAGAAACACAGTTGTCAGGAATATTTAAATTAATATAATGTGATGTAGCCATAGAATTTACTGGGCATTTCTTGTTCATTTATTCATATTTACATTAAGAGTTTTGACCCCTCATAAATGGCTTGGTTAGACCAAGTACAGGTTACAATAAAGCATGTACAATGTATAGTGTCTGTTGTCTGTTAAGCTGCTGTGTCACTGCCCTGAAGGAGGAGTTTTTGAAGAGGAACCCAAATGGAATAGACCCTGTCAGTGCTAATGATGTCTTCTTCAGTCTCCATGCAGTCCTGCTGTGTTTCATCTACATCATCCAGGCTGCTGTGTATGAGGTTTGTCTTGTCTTGTGATTGAGATGATGTTGCAAATATATCTATAAGTCCCAGTGAAGTAAGGTGAAATTGTGTAAAATATCCAACTGCATGCCTGGTTTTTAAACTTTTCACATATATAATGACAAAGGATCTTGGCTTATAGCCCCAGAATCAAAAGTGAGTGGTGCTCCTCTCCCACTTTATTAACTTGATGAAGAAAAAGTGCAAGTCAACGGAAAACCAAAAGTTTTCTTCACCACGCTAAACATCTTTGCCAAGATGGACTGCAAATTTTACATTTTTATGGTTCTTTGTTCAATTTGACTTATTTATTATTTATTGGGCAATTAATTTATTTTACACCATTAGAACTTCAGAAAGTCAAATTACATTTTTCAAAAGAGCATTTTCTGGTTACATGCCGTAGTTACATTGTTACTGCAAATCAAACACTTTAAAACCAAACGGTGGTTCTGAAACAAACTCTGAGAGCCAGGTTTCTGTTTTTTCTACCTCTCTGAAGTATTGGGACTTTACATCAGGTACTGTAAACTGGATCATACTAGTTTTTCCTGGCACCAAACGCTCATTAGTTCACCTCTCCCTTTTGTATTGTTCATGCTGTTGCTGATATTAACACTGTCTCCGTGTATGCACTTCAGATAGTTTGCATTTGTATCTTATCTCAAAGGCACTCATTATATCGAAGAGTGGATGGAAAAGGAGGTCATTATAAGAAACTCATCCTACAGGAAGAAAAAATCATTATACAGAGAAAGTGGCTTAAACCTTAAAACGCATTAAAACCTAAAGTGTATATAGTGTTTCTTATAATAAAGTATTTAAACATACTGTATAGTGATATCGCAAAAAATACATATGACTCCTGTTCTCACTATTTCTATTCCCAATGTCCACTGGATGTGGCTGCATTGCGTTCAAAACAAGAGTTACAGATATAACTATCGTTCTATGAATTCTGGATGACTGCCAGAGATGGTATGTAATACATGGATATGCATAAGGCCAGGAGCGTGGATTCTTGTAATATGGTACCAACAACCTAGTTCAAGAGTCTCTGTTTAGACAATATAGGGTTTTCCCTGTAGCAAAACAAACAAATTGCCCATCAGACTGATGGAATCTAGCTGACACATCTTTGTGCTGTCTCAGAGCCCAAATAGGACAATGTAGGCTGACATTAGGATGCCATTCCTCCAGTCCAGGCTGCGGGGTGAAACTACCAAATGTATAGGCCATGGGAGAGTTCAAGGCACTTAATTGAGAGGCTGGAGACCATATTCTTCCTGCCAGCATGAAGCCACCAGCAGCAGTGCATCTGTCAATTTGAGTGTCAGTATGAGTAGGGGAAATGCATGGAAGACATACAGGAAGCAGAAGGTGCCTGTCATAGCAGTCTGGTCTGCACCTGAATTTTGTCAGTGTATGGCACAGAGGGTGGAACGCTGAAGGCAGATGGTTAATAAGCAACCTGTACAGGAGCAGCATCCAGACCAAGCCGTGATATGGCCAATTGAACAGCTTTCTTAACTGTGGAATGACCAGCCTCAGCATCCTTAATTCAATTCAATTTTATTTATATAGCGCCAATTCTTAACAAAAGTTATCTCATTGCACTTTTCATATAGAGCAGACTGTACTCTTTGTAATATTATTTACAGAGACCCAGATAACCCAGGGCCCTAATAGGGGGAGGGCCCTTGAAAATCCTGAAATAATAAGTTTGTTTTCCCCTTCCAAAAGACACAAAATGGTTTAGGCTGCCCCGCACTAGGATTCATCTCTAAATGGTCTAATAGAGCAGAGGGACTGCTAATGTTGGAGCATCAACGTGCCTTGTGACAGTCATATCTGTCCCAAAGAAAGAGAAATCAATGTACCAAATGAGAAAAGAAAGAAAGGAAAGAGAAAACAAAGTGAGGAGAAATGGCTGCCAACTAATTTCATTCAAAAGAAAGGGAACAAGCAGGTAGGCAGATAAAAAATGGTTTAGGCCAGCGATCATCAACTGGCAGCCCGCGGGCCACATTCGGCCCACCAAAGCTTCTCATCCTGCCTGCAAAATGGCCTCGGATGAAAGTATTGCAGTTTCAATATATTTGTAGTATTAGAAACTTGATCTGTGGCGAAATTCCCGGTAAAATGCTCTATCAAGTTACTGCTAAAGCAAACTCATTTTCTGCTGCTGTAGCTTCACATTAAAAGCATTTAACTGGCGAAACACAAGTTGATTTTATTTTGAAGTAGTCACAGGAATTGCAGTGTTTGTGAGTGAGATTAGGGCTGGCCGCTATCATTTATCGAAAATGCGGCTACAAAATAGGACAATGGTTATTTTCAACAGTTTTCTGACAGTGGACCAGTTTGTTGAGATATTGCAGAGATGTAACAGTCAGGAGCAGACACAGTGAGCTGTTAGATGAAGAGCTGCAGACGACAGGCTTCACATCTGCACCTTCTCTGCCATGTAACCAACTTCTTTCACTCTCACTGTTCGCAGACTCGTTTTGTGCAGAATAAAGTCAGATCATGACTGGTCACATAATTACGGAAAAAGACCATTATTGCCTGATAATAGTTTCTTTAGCTGCCCCAGACTTCTTACCACCAGTAACTACAGGTGTCACCTGCACAATAATATTGCAAATACAGGCTAATAGACAAAAAAAAAAAAAAGAGAAGTGTTTTTTTGTTTGTTTTTTTCCTTTTAACCTATCCTGCCCCACAGCCTGGTATACAGTATGATGAGCTGGATACCATGTTGTGCCAGATAGATTTTACTTTAACAAGAGAGTTTTAATATACTCCTTTATCTGTTTTATTATTTATTTAATTATGTATTGATTTGTCACCGGGCCAGACAGGGCAGCAGAAATGGGGATGGGGGGCACAAACATGCAAGAGAACAGGGATGGGGGTCGGGTTTAGTGGTGTGGTAGATATACTCTGGAAATCACACATTAAAGGTAAAATTATGGATTTATTTCAGTTAATAGAGTAGTCTGAGATAGATGAAAATGTTTCTATAAGTATGATTGTCTCAGAAAGAGAAGTTTGTGAGTTTAGGAGGAAAAGTAATACATCATCTGCATAAATCTTGTGGTGTACATTTTCTTCCGCTAGTGGCTCTATAAAAATGGCGAATAGCGAGGGAGAGAGTGAGCAACCCTGCCTGGTACCCCTCTGAAGACTAAAGCTTGGAAGTATATTCATTTGTCCTGAAAGAAGCTCTTGGGCAACTGTATAAGATTTGAATCCAGTCTATGAAAAATCCAAATTTATGTAAAGTATCTAAGAAATTTCGAATATACCCTATCAAATGCTATATCTGCATCTGTATTTCTGTATTCATAACTTGGAAACAACTGTAGTTTCCAGGTTATGAATAGTGCCGTAGTCTATTACATTAAGTAGCCTTTTAACAACCTGCAATCATCACCAGGTTTCACCACCAGTTTTAAACCCTGGAAACACCCATTTTTAGACACAACACGCCTGATTCATTACCAGATGGTGCCACAATTAAACTTCCTCCCTGTAAAATGTCAGTGTGTCGGAAGGAGAGCGGAGGAGAACACACAGTGAGAAAGTAGGCCGGAGAAACATGCTCAATTGACAGTCAGTAAAACGTAAAAAGTAAGGCAGTTCACTTGAGTACCATTTTCATCAGTGACCATTAGACGTTTGATGATCTTGTACACCTCACCTTCCGATCATCATTCTACATTCACCGTACAGAGTTGTTTGCTTCTGCAAACAGTAAAACATTCACAACCAAGCAGAAAAAACCCAGACTGGATTCTTTGACTGACTGAACTGACTGACTGACTGGACTCGGTGAGTTAACAAACTCTTTTCTTTACTATGACGGGGGGTTTTTGTCTTGTGATTGAGGAACTGAAATAGTTCTTTTTCAAATCAATTAATATTTATTTATATAGCACCAAATCACAACAGTAATCTCATAGCTCTTTTCATTAAAGAGCTGGTCTAGAATGGAGCTCGACCGATATGGTATTTTTAAGTCCGATACAGATTTCGATATTTGAGATTTTTAAAATCTATATATCGGCCAATATTGTTATTTTTCCCCTACAATTTTAAGAAATGCATGACATTAACAAAAGATTATCCCTAAAATGTTATGTTGACATTATGACATAATGCAGTATAAAAAGAAACTTTTATTGTTATAAATAGTACTTTGAACAAAAAGTAGAACAAAATATAGCAAGGTTTTGATGAATAACAGTCAAAACTACAAAAATATTTTTTTTAAATCCGATTTGTTATAAATTATGGAGTACTACTAATGAACATTAAAGTAAATAGTATATGTATTGTAGGGGCCAGGAAAACAGAAACTATAAAAATTACCCATATACTACTACTGCTATTACTACAACAAATACCATATATCATATTTAATGTCATTGCTATAATAATACTGTTAAACAGGGCTCTCCTACATAGACAAATAATTATATATATTTTATTCATGCAATAGTTATTACCATACATAATCTGCCACAATGACTGCTTTCTAAAACATATCATTTATGGTACAGTGACCCAGAGGAAACACTGTTGTTTAATTAATCTAATACTACATAACGGTCTACAAGGAGGACCTCCACCACTCACCTATCGTAACATGAAACATCTTGCTGTGAAAAACGGGAGAGTTAACGAGTCTGGTATGAATGTTTTCAGGAGAGGAGAAGTGATAAGGACTGTGTTTGTTATTTAAGTTATGTAATTGACGTGACAAATTAACAACTCACTGTGAACAGTGAGTGTGAGCGATCCAGTAGCTAGGGTACAGTGGCCCAGAGGTATCAGGCCGAATACAAAAGCCACAACACTAATACAAAAGTCATAACACAAATACAAAAGTCACCACACAAATACAAAAAGCCACAACACCAACGGACCACAACGTAAGTTGATTACGTCAACAACAGACATTTAGTAATAGACTTTTTTCGCCAGCACAC